AAAGGTATTTATCGGGGCAGCGGGAGCTCTCTTGTCATGTAAAGTCAGGACGCACTGTGGTTTTAGCATTCTTTGGCTTTTCTTTGACCTGGAGCTTGAAATCTAATCAGAATCATTCAACAAGGAAAAGGGGAGAAAAGAGAAATGATACCGACATGGGGAGACAAGTATCATAACTTGTATTAGAATACGAGCAATAGCAATAATGTCTAATTAATATATTTTTAGGCAGTAATTTAAAAAAAATTTCTCTGTTGAGTTCTGTACCCGGAAAAACACATTGGGAAGCTAAGGAAATCATTTTGCAACAGCCGTTTTTTTTTAAATCACAGATTTGCCTTAAAGAAACAAAATCCTAGGAGCTTAAAAGGGCTTATCTCCTTTTCTCGCTTTCCTTAGTGGGAGGGAGGAAGGGAAGCTGGCCCCTTACGTTAATGCGCTGAAAAAAAGAGAACACTTCAGGTGTGCTTTAGGAGTAAGTGAATGGCTCTTTTTTTTTTGTCACCTGAAGAAGGAAAATGGAGGAGGTTGAGAAGTGGAAAGATGTTCAGCTATACAGGGAAATCACAAATGAACCCCAGCAATGGTGGGGTGCCCAGCTGAAAAGCCAGTCTTTGGTGGTATAGCATTTGAGTACGCACTCTGGGAGGCTGAGGCAGGTGAATTGCCTGAGTTCACGAGTTTGGCCCCAGCCTGAGCAAGAAAGAGCAAGACCCCCATCTCTGCTAAAAATAGAAAAACTAGCCGGGTGTGGTGGTGGGCACCTGTAGTCCCAGCTACTCAGTTGACTAAGGCAGGAGGATCACTTGAGCCCAGGAGTTTGAGGTTGCTGTGAGCTAGGACCTCATAGCACTCTACTTAGGAACAGACTGAGACTCTGTCTCAAAACAAAACAAAACAAACAAAAAATTTCAGTAAGTTGATTCTCAACTTTACAACACAATTTTATATTGCCCACAGGTGTCTGTGTACACCTGTGGGCAATACAAAAAGTATTACAAAGTTTACAAACCAGACTGTACAAACCAAACTGAATATCTGGGTAGTCTGGGTCCAGACTCCGGGTTCTAACTATAATGCAATATCATCTCCCGGTTGGATAAAGAAATATCATTCTATGCACCCTTGAAAAAATCTTTCCAAAATTAGAGTCCAGTGAGACTGTTTTTCATTTGCTTTTCATTTTCTGTCTCTGTTAGGACATATTCAGCAGTACTATTTTCTTCACTCTCATTTTATCTGTTGTATATCTCAAAGAAATTTTTTTTTCTTTTAATTGTTCAGATGGATATGAAATTTTAGATTCAAAATAATTTCCTCTTGGCTGGGTGTGGTGGCTCATGCCTGTAATCCTAACACTCTGGGAGACCCAAGCAAGTGGATTGCTTGAGTTCAGTAGTTGGAGACAAACCTGAAAAGAGCCAGACCCCATCTCTACTAGAAATAGAAAAACTGGCCCAGTGTGGTGGTGGACACCTGTAGTCCTAGCTACTCAGGAGGCTGAGTCAAAAGAATTGCTCAAACCCAGGGGTTTGATGTTGCTGTGAGCTATGGCACCCTGTCACCGTAGCCCAGACAACAGAGCGAGACTCTGTCTTAATAATAATAATAATAATAATAATAGTTTCCTTTAAACATTTGAAAGATTACCTCTATTGTTTTCTAGTGGTACAAAGTAGAGGCACCAATATGGAAATGCAGGCAGTCTGTTTCTCTAAGTCTTCCTGACTCTGCAGTGAATTTTTATGTATACAAGCTTAAAATTAGAAATGATATTTATTGACTTTGGACTTCCAAATTAACCTAGACCAAGAACCTCAGGCTTAATTGCAGCTTCAGGATAAAATGCTAAAATTCCATCCCTTGATGAATGTCAAGCAATGTTATAGCTGACAGTTTGAGGAAGTATAAGGATGAAAGAAACTGGGAGAAACCCCAGAGGTGTGCACTTCCCACGGCACAGGTGAGGCACCCACAGAGACCTAAACATCATGGATCAAGGAATAGAGTTTGGGGCACAGTCGTTAAAACTACACATGTAACAATAAAGAAAATGAAAAATAAGGAAAGGAAATTTGTGAAGAGAATTGCATAAAGTTGTGAGAGAATAATGTAAGTTTCTTATCTTTATAGTGAG